TCGTCGCCGCTGACGTCGTCATTTCTGCTTTTTCGGTCGCCGCGGTATCTCTTTTGTGCAACTCCGTTTCCGATTCAACTGCCCTATTTATGCCGTCACAAGAATGCGCTCGTCGCCGGAACCTTGTCGTCCCGTTTGCCGTCATAACACTTGCCGATGGCTCCAGTGCCGTGTACGTGTGCAATCCGTTCCCTTGTCCCGCTACCTTATTGCATGGCGAATGCATTGGGAGTCTTGACACTTATGATGACATCTTTCCTTTCGATGCCCGTTCTGATACGACACCGATGTCCGTGGATGCTGTCACAGCTGGCACCGCGCCCTCACTACCTGACGAAGACGTTCTGTTGCGCAGCGTAGACACCGGCCTTACGCAAGACCAGCGCAATCAGCTCATTCAACTACTTGACCGTTTCCGCGCCTCCTTCGACCACGGACAACCTCCCTTGGGACGCACGTCAGTTGTCGCTCACCATATCGACACCGGTCATCATACTCCACTTCGTCAGCGCCCCTACCGCGTCTCGCAGGCTGAGCGTGACGTCATCACTCAACACGTCGACGAGATGCTGCAACGTGGTGTTATTCAGCACTCACACAGTCCTTGGGCTTCGCCAGTGGTCCTCGTGCGAAAAAAGGATGGCTCCATCAGGTTTTGCGTGGATTATCGTCGACTAAACAACATCACACGCAAGGATGTTTATCCCCTGCCACGCATTGATGACGCCTTGGATTGCCTTCAAGGTGCGGAGTTTTTCTCTTCACTGGATCTGCGCTCTGGATATTGGCAAGTGCCAATGGCTGAACCAGACCGTCCAAAAACGGCGTTTGTGACCCCTGACGGCTTATATGAATTTAATGTAATGCCCTTTGGTCTTTGCAATGCGCCTGCGACTTTTGAAAGAATGATGGACAGTGTCCTCAGGGGACTTAAATGGCACATCTGTCTTTGCTATTTAGACGACATAGTTGTATTCTCGGCGAATTTGAAACTCATCTTTCCCGTCTGGAACAAGTTCTCCAGTGCCTTACGGCAGCCGGGTTGCAACTAAACTTCAAGAAATGTCGTTTTGGCGCCCGCAAACTCACAATTCTCGGCCATGTCGTTTCAAAAGAAGGAATATCGCCAGACCCTGCCAAACTGCGTGCCGTTGCCGAGTACCCCAAGCCTACTACTCTAAAGGAGCTTCGTAGTTTCGTAGGCTTGTGTTTCTATTTTCGGCGTTTCATTCACAATTTTGCCTCTATAATTGCCCCTCTGACTCAGCTTCTCTCCCGTAGCGCGGACCTCTCAGGCTGGAATTCCCACTGCGATGAGGCATTCACGGCGCTACGCCGGCTAATCACCTCTCCGCCAGTTCTCCGCCACTTCGATCCCAATGCACCCACTGAAATTCATACGGATGCAAGCGGTGTCGGCCTCGGTGCCATTCTCGCTCAACGCAAGGATGGCTGCGACGAGTACGTTGTCGCCTATGCCAGCCGTACACTAACGAAGGCAGAGTCCAACTATTCCGTCACGGAAAAGGAGTGCTTGGCTATCATTTGGGCTATAGGAAAATTCCGCACCTACCTTTACGGACGCCAGTTTGATGTTGTCACAGATCACCATGCCTTATGCTGGTTAGCGTCCATGAAAGATCCTACTGGCCGCCTCGCTCGTTGGGCTTTACGCCTTCAGAAATACGATATCCGTGTTGTTTATCGCTCAGGACGCAGACATTCAGACGCCGATGCACTATCCCGTTCTCCACTGCCTCCTGACCTTGCCTGCTTATCAACTGCCATTTGCGATTCGTCCTTGTTGAGCATCACTGACATGCCATCCGAACAGCGCAAGGATCCTTGGATCAATTCTTTGCTCGACGTCCTCTCTCACAGTTCGTCAGAAACGACTTCACGCTCCCTCTCTCGTCAAGCAAGACACTTTGCTGTCCGTGAAGGCTTGTGTATCGCCGCAATTACGTGACGTACGGCCGTAGGTGGCTCCTTGTCATCCCTCGTCATTTGCGTTTCGGACATCTGCGCTGCCTTTCACGATGACCCCCAGTGTGGCCACGCTGGAGTATTTAAGACTTACTCTCGCCTTCGTCTAAGATACTACTGGCGCGGCATGTATCGGCACGTTCGCCAGTACGTTCGGTCATGCACCACGTGTCAACGACGCAAGACGCCTTCTCACAGCACTGCTGGCCCTTTGCAACCCTTAACCTGCCCAGCGAGACCATTCGACCGCGTCGGAATTGATATTTATGGTCCTCTACCCAACTCTCTTCGAGGCAACCGGTGGATTATCGTCGCCGTGGATCATTTGACACGCTACGCTGAAACATCTGCGCTGCCTGCTACCACTGCGAAAGACGTTGCGTCCTTTCTTCTTCACCATCTCATTTTGCGACACGGTGCACCTCGTGAATTACTGAGTGACCGTGGACGCGTGTTTCTCTCGAACGCCGTCGACGAGCTACTCAAGGCATGTCGCACTGTCCATCGGAAATCCTCGGCATACCATCCTCAAACCAATGGCATGACGGAACGCTTTAACCGTACCCTTGGAGATATGCTTGCCATGTACGCCTCTGACGACCACACTAATTGGGACCAAGTGCTCCCTTTTGTCAAGTACGCATACAACTCTGCGCCACAAAAAACCATTGGCTTTTCTCCTTTCTTCCTCCTGTACGGACGTGAGCCATCATGCTCCATGGACACCATTCTCCCTTACAGGCCTGATGTTTCCGAAGCGACGCCTGTTTCCGAAGCAGCTGCTTATGCCGAAGAGTGTCGTCAACTCGCTCGCTCATTTACCGCACAAGACCAATGGCGCCAGAAAACTGACCACGATTCCTCTGCGTCTACTGTACACTATAACCCAGGAATGCTGGTTTGGCTCTGGGTCCCGTCTACCCCTCCCGGTCTTTCCCCGAAGCTTTCGTCGAAATACCATGGCCCCTACCGTGTGGTGCGGCAAACATCTCCTGTCAACTATGAAGTTGAGCCCATTGATCCACCTTCGGACCAACGCTGCCGTGGGCGTGAAACAGTACACGTATCACGCCTCAAACCGTGCTATGACCCCCTTGTCGTGTCCTTTCCCTAGGTCGCCAGGTTGGCTCCTTTCTGCGCGGGGAGTAATTGTACCGAAGCATAGTGGCGCCAGCTCTGTGCCAGCGTGAAAGAAGACGTTGACGTCCTAGTGTGACTCGTGCTTGCCGGGTTCCTGCCTGTACCAGCTTGTTGCGGCTAACGTTTCTGGAATAATAACCTGTGTTTTTACGCAACCTTGCTCATTGCAATATATATATATATATATATATATATATATATATATATATATATATATATATATATATATATATATATATATATATATATATATATATATATATATATATATATATATATATATATATATATATATATATATATTGCAATTTGTGTGCACTGCATCCCAGATGTTACATGGAGTGTTCGCACAAAAGCATAAAGGTGTCACGTTTTCTTTCCTGTAGCGTTTATTTTTTATCTGTTGCTTTTAAATTTACACGTACAAAAGTGTCAAGCACATGGCAATGCATATTCTAATAAAGACCTCCCTAAAAAAGGCAGTATTACAATATATGCGGTATTTTTTTCTTTTTGAGAAGCCGAATCCGAAACCGGAAGCTGGATTAAGTTGCACGGGAGCGTAAAGCACATATGAGTGTACTTAACTTCTGAAACAGTTTGAATCAATTGTTGAATTCAAAAATTTGGCAATCCCACGTTCCATGAGAGTCGAGGTTAGGCGAAGCATGCGGAGGGAAAGTGGTAGCGGTGTGACTTTTTTTTTTAGGGGGCGAAACATTTTAGGGTCGTGCCTTGTCCCTTTGATGTCCGTTGTCCTGGCTTGCACGTTCTAGGAGCACCCGCCGCGAGCGCACCCATCGTAGGTAGAAGACGAGAACAGTGGTCGCGGGTTCACTCGTGGCACGCTGTTTCTTTCGCTGCGGCGCCCCAAGAGGTATAAAACGCGCTCGCTCCCAGTTCTCTCTCTCTCTCATGGTCATGAATGTGCACTTCGTCATGATAGATAGATAGATAGATAGATAGATAGATAGATAGATAGATAGATAGATAGATAGATAGATAGATAGATAGATAGATAGATAGACAGACAGACAGACAGACAGACAGACAGACAGACAGACAGACAGACAGACAGACAGACAGACAGACAGACAGACAGACAGACAGACAGACAGACAGACAGACAGATAGATAGATAGATAGATAGATAGATAGATAGATAGATAGATAGATAGATAGATAGATAGATAGATAGACAGACAGACAGACAGACAGACAGACAGACAGACAGACAGATAGACAGATAGATAGATAGATAGATAGATAGATAGATAGATAGATAGATAGATAGATAGATAGATAGATAGATAGATAGATAGATAGATACTCTTTTAAAAAAACGCCACATAGTAAAATAACCTATTGGAGATAGCCGAAAAAAAGAAACATTCAGACTTCTAACATTCCTGCCGGCATCTTTTTACCAATATGAAGAAAAGGTAGTTGTGCAACCTCATGCACCGATAAAGGCACTGGTCGTTGCCCTCGCCACTCTTTGTACGAGGGAACGACTATCTTTCAGCACGTATCGCAGCGCGCATCGAAGCGTGCAAACAGCAACAGTTCGTATTCCGTTCGGATTCACATTGCATATACTAAAACCGTGGTAAACTCACCACTCGGTTGGCACGTGTCAAAGACGCTATATCGAATGATCACAGCCACCGGTAGCACTTTCCCGGGGTAACTTCCTCGCAACAACAACCCGCAAAAAATGGCGCAAGAGAAATGGCAAAGGCGACGAACTTAGTTATTTTGTCGTGACACTCCGTGCTAGTATTTTCTTTTTCATTGTTGCTTTTTTTCTTGAATTTCCTTTTTGAGGAGTATATTTAAACAGCGAGCACATCCTGTGTTTCCGCGCAATGGGCTCGAAACAAGCCAGTGGTAGAATGGGAAATGGCACCGGCTAAGGTTGTGCTCTGTTAGAGACTTGACTCCGTTAGTGTGATAAAAGGAGCTTACGAACAGCACTTATAAAAGCCATAAAGCAAACGAGCCATGAGTCCTGAATCTGGGTTCAAGCTACTTTCCTGTTCCGTTCAAGGCTTTTTCAAGAGGTTCGCTGCTGTCGCCGTCGCCGTCGCTCTCCTTCAGCCCTCACCAGGTAAGAGACAGTTAAACGTATGCTGTGTGTCGTATCAAGAGAAAATTGATGTACGGGTGTGGGACAGGCGCTGTGTATGGAACAGTTGAAGTGGCTCGCTAGTTTAAGGACTGCTAGCGTTCGTCATGTGACGACGCTGCTCTTTCGTAATACTGGATTACGTCCTTAAGTAAAGAAAAAGACTTGGCCACCCCAGTTGCAATGTGGAAGATATTTATGCATAAGGGTTATTATTCCCGTCATCATTTATGCATTTTTTGCAGGTGAAGTCTTGCGTGGGTTGAAGTGATAAAATGTAATACAGCTCAGGCTAAAAAAGGTTTCTGTGTGGAAACGTTGACCTCAGCGACATATTTCTTTATTCTATATGCTTAATCATTTCACCTTTCCAACTACACGGCACCGCCTGTCTTGAGTTGATATAACGTTACTATGTGTTTCATTGAAAGCATTCGGCTTCGTTGCTATACTTTCACGTATCACTGACTTAACGACTAATAATGTGCACACGTCTACCGTTTTCTGCTCCATTCTTTGTTTCGATATCCGGGCAGCTAGCCTAGCAGCAATGGGAAAGAGGACGTTGTTTCCGGGCGTCATGAGCGGACGTTACCTCTGTCGCTTCGTCGACGGAGTTGCACCGAGCGGACATCCGCTTCACACGGTGGTGCACACTTTCTATGTCTCTGATCACAAACCTCCCTTTCTCCTATCCAGCCCCTCCCCTTTCTTGAAAGGAGAAATGAAGTTTATTCACCGACTGACTCAACCTTCTATTGTAGCCTACTACCTTCAGGTTTGCCCTGAACCTCAATTCTCATGGACCGCGGAACGCCGAGCTACATTTATTTTCCTAACGAAGACCACCCACCTCCAAGCATACCACTCTGGCTGCCCGCAATAACCACTAGCTGATCAGTGGGTTCTGTTATGCAGTACGGTGTGACTTGGACCTGGCCGAGTACTGGCCCGATAAGTGTCAGACCACGGCACAGGAAGGCCACACTCCAGGCATGTGCGTGCCCGCTGCCTGGTGCCCATCCTTGGAGGGCGCGGCCCGTCGCGATGACCTACCTTCCTCCTGTCGCGTCCGCGACGGCTTGCCGCTGAAATGCTGCCCGACAGAAGACGTTGTGAAACCGGCACCGTCAAACGTAGGCAAGGGCTGTTTCCTTCTCTTTTTTTTTTTGTCCGAAGATATATTCACGTTTTTTCAAAGAATGTGGCATGGGTGTATGTGATGACGCGAATGGTCGCATGAGCAGTGGCAATGCAAGGTACGAAACACCTCAGCGAGCGTGAAGACGTGTCCCCGTGGTTAAGAGATCGAAATTCCGGCAGGTCTCTTGAACAGTGGGAGTCGATTTTATGCGAAGCAGCAAGCGAGTACCAGACCAGTGGCCGTGACCAAACTATGCCACTTCCTTTTTTTTCTTTGAGCCATGCTTTATGTAGTGAATTGACATATTTGTGTAAAATAAACAGTTGTGCGAGTATTGCGGGCTTTCCAGGCAATACAACTATGCATGCACTGGCACCCAAAGCGTAGCTTATGACTAAACATATACCTCCGGCACTCAAGTTGAAGTGAAGACGTTACTTTTATCAAAGCGTAGTGCACGTTATGGTTGGCATGACGTGCATATAGTGGCAGTCGTCGTCGTCGTATTCCTCTAGGTTCAGGCAACGCTTTATCCTAGGATGCTGAATCATTGGAGTACGTCTGTAATGTTTCTTACATTATCATCAAAGAGGACAGCCAACACTGCAGTCACGAATGACGGTGTCCCGGAATATGTCGCCTGCATAAAGTATTTTTCGGAAGCACTTTCAAGCGGTGACATGACTCTGTGGTATAGGACGCCTGACTGCGACGCAGAATGCATTAGGTTCAATCCCTACTGGAACCGCTGCTCTATTCGTACCTAGCTGCTTAACGCTGTCGTATTAAGATCTCGAAAGTCTATTCTCGCTATTCCTTTTTTTTATATGTATGGTGAAAGAATGTGTGAAAGTTGAAGGGTTCCAGCATGTTTCAATGGGAGCACAAGAATAGATGAACGCTAAGGACAAGGCGGGACTTACAATGTTATTCCCAGAAAACTGAAGTGAGTTCATATACTTATGTCTTTATGCTTGTTTTGGTATATACGAAGTTTACAAGACGACTACGAGAGCATCCGGACGTGAGCATATAGATAGATAGATAGATAGATAGATAGATAGATAGATAGATAGATAGATAGATAGATATAGATAGATAGATAGATAGATAGATAGATAGATAGATAGATAGATAGATAGATAGATAGATAGATAGATAGATAGATAGATAGATAGATAGATAGATAGATAGATAGATAGATAGATAGATAGATAGATAGATAGATAGATAGATAGATAGATAGATAGATATAGATAGATAGATAGATAGATAGATAGATAGATAGATAGATAGATAGATAGATAGATAGATAGATAGATAGATAGATAGATAGATAGATAGATAGATAGATAGATAGATAGATAGATAGATAGATAGATAGATAGATAGATAGATAGATAGATAGATAGATAGATAGATAGATAGATAGATAGATAGATAGATAGATAGATAGATAGATAGATAGATAGATAGATAGATAGATAGATAGATAGATAGATAGATAGATAGATAGATAGATAGATAGATAGATAGATAGATAGATAGATAGATAGATAGATAGATAGATGCGGTCAAAGTGCCTATGGTTCAGTTTCAATTTTTATTCATTCAAAATACAAAGTTCACAGTTAAAATATGCAGACTAGGTCCCGAAGTCAGGTGACTGCAGTGGGACCCTCGGTTAACAATAACAATAAAAGGTTTAATTGTAACAGCATGTAATATTACACAACGTAAATGGAAGTGAACAGTGGAAGTAGAAAAAACAACAAAATAAGGGGAAAAACAAAAAACACCCTCAAAGCAATACAAGTACATAATAAACAGTTGTACAAGTGGACTAAGTAAATCAAAAAAGAAAACCAAGACTAAAATTTCCGCTACTTACACTTCACAATATGAAATAGTATTGTTGTCATGCTAGTTATGCAAAATGAAACTTTCAAGTGCATGTTTGAATGCTTGTAATGATGGCAATGATTTTACTCGCTAAGAAACGCTTTGCATTCAATAATACAAAGTTTGCGCTCGCTGGGCAACATCGGGCACCTTTGAAAAATGACTGCCGCGTGGTGTTTTCTTGCTGATGAAACTTTTCTTATGGTGTGATTCATTGGCAGAAGCGGAGGAGGCTGACGAACTCTGCGCCGGAGCACTCCATTCAGGCGGAGGCCTACTGACGGGAATCTATCGCTTCCTGTGGAGCATGTGTGTTTAGAAAGGCGGTTAGAAAAGGCGTTAGAGTACTAGTTACTCTACTATGGAGAGCTTAAAGCCGTCCCGTAGGCCTCACACATGACGTAAGGCCTTGTGCAGTGGAAAGCTGCTCTGTTGCTATCGCTGGAGCCTAGAGTTTCATACAATAATACCTAGAGAGGAATCTGGTGCTGCGATCATGTACCCTCATGTGAATTATGGGAAGTAGCAGGCTTCGGATGGGATCCTGTTAGCCAGCGAAGTGTCTACGGATCTTTTTCTTCCGTTTCAGTTTCGTTCTTCGCGTAGAGTGGGTAGTGGGGGTGCAAAGGACTTAAGCTGCGCCTTTGTTGTTCAAAGAAGATGAAAACTGCTTGGCCTCTCAATTTACTGCAACGCTGGAGCTGTATAAGTCGTGTTTGACCGTTTAAGCGAAGCGTCACCCACTCACCGCTGTGCATAGATGTAGCGTCCCGTGCCAGTGCAGGATATTACATCGAGTTCACGTTTGTTTTAGTGCGTCTTGCCAAAACTTGTTGAAATCAACTGCAAAATGACAGGCGACACCAAGCAGACGCACCGCCACGCTCTTCTGACTCGACTTCACAACAAAACGAGAGGTGCGCCAAGGGCAGACCACTTGAACAGACGCGCCTAGCATCGCAACAGACGAAACGTCAAGCGTTTCTCACTGAATACTGTGCTGTTATTTCCATAAATAGATACTGTGTACTTTCGAGGGCAAAACAAGAATGTTTGTTTTGAGATGTTGTAAAGAATAATTTATTACATGTTGATGCCAAATCTGGAACGCAATGACAGAGCAATGCATACCTTGGTGGTTAAATTTGTCCAGATTTCACTTCTACCGCCTAGTCACAAAAATATTTTGCAATAAAGTTTGCGTACAAAAAAATGAAGCAAGTTTCACTTAGACGTACCTCCATATCACTTAGTTTTACACTCAGCAAACAAGCGTCGCGAATCTCAAGAACGTGATCTCTCCGAAGCAGATCCGAAGCCTGTACTTCTCATAATTCTAATGGGGGTACAAGCGCCGCTGAAGAAGCCCACGCAAGGTCCCCTGATAGACACTAGCGCCAGATTCCCGTCTAGGTATTATTGTAGGAAACTCTATGCTCTGGAGCAAATGGCAGGGTCAGACTGGAACACGATGCGCGCGCCTCTCTTTTTGCATGTGTGGGCACGCGACGCACAGCGACGCTACGCCAGCAAGACGTGAGCTCGGACGCGAGGCGCTGTCGACGCGATCGGCCTCCATTGGCCCGCCCGAAATTGGCATCGTTTCAAGGCACGGGGTACTTGCGACTTCCGGTCGAATCTGCCGATTTTCGCGGAGTAGAAAAAGTTGCTCCGTGGAGTGGATCTCACGGCGGAGCATCTCCAGATCTGCCAATGGAACGTACAGGAAGCACTCTCAATCCGCCAAAGGAATAGACTTGCTCCGCATGGAGCAGAATGAAGTATTACCGGAAGTGCTCCAAATCTGCCAATGGATGACACCATTAGTGAACCAAAGACTTTTCAACCGTATCTGTCTGTCTGTCTGTCTGTCTGTCTGTCTGTCTGTCTGTCTGTCTGTCTGTCTGTCTGTCTGTCTGTCTGTCTGTCTGTCTACTCTGTATACAGCCATCTTCGTCATGGCGCTCTCGTGGTCGTCTCGTAAAATTGGCCTTGGAGGACATGAGTCTTTCACAAACACAATTCACCTGGCATTGAATGAATAAGTAAAATGGCCCTGTATACGTGCGCGAGGGAAGACCCTTTCCATCAGTGACGTGTGGCACATACCCACAGGTGAGTGACAGTACATATCAACCGAGATGACAGCGAGAATCGTCTCGGCAGTCTTGGCCCAAAAGCGTTAAAGATCTTGCGTCGCAGCAAATCCGGTGCCGGCGTTGACGGCGTTGTCGACGAGTGAAATACCCCCGATGGGAAGAACGAGTAAAAGTCACAGTTGCAGGCTGCATTTAAACCAGAAATTCTGCATGGTGTTCAACTATTCTACCTTTGAGCCACGCCGGATAATTAATGAAGTTTTGAAAAAAGAATAAAACATCTAAGGGGAAATACCCTACACAAGAATCATGTCGTAGCAGCGCCAACTGCGGCTGCAGAGCATGCATCCCATATCTCCCCCCCCCCCCTCCCCTCCGTGCGCACGACTATGGCCGGACCATGGGCAACACATTACATGCGAGTGTATAGGCGACGTGCCTAGCAAAGCCACTATAGTGGCAAACTACTATAGATTCACACAAGGACGTCAATTGTCCAGTAACGCTTGGCTCGAAGCGATAAATTTGGCTTCGCATGGGGTCCATTCCCACAATCCCTGTGTTTCACCACATTCTTTATTTTTCTCGGCTTTCACGTTCAAACTTCCTTTAAACTAGACGCCATTCTTCAATATTGCAAACAGTCATGCGTTTCACCATCCATTTTCATCGTTCAGGCTGTGGTACCATAGTCAACGATCCTGGAGGTCTCCGTGACAGACAAGTTAAGGAAGGCTTTACGCCCGCAAGCTCGCCGTGGCCTTGGATGGTGAGTATCTCGGATATTCACCGCTGCGCATTCGCCATTTTCATTAGTGAATTATTGCGTATTTGTGTTACCAGTGTACTTACGTTACTAGCGTATTTATGTTAACACGAGTATAGACCAGCAACGGTGGTCTAGTGGCTTAGACATATAAGCTGCTGACACGCAGGTTGCGGGATCGAATCCCGGCCGTGGCGGCCGCATTTTTGATAGAGGCGAAAATGCTTGAGGCCCGTGTGCCTAGATTTGGGCGCACGTTGAAGATCTCCAGGTGGTCGAAATTTCCGGAGATCGCTAGACCATCTCTCATAATCATACGGTAATTTTGTAATTTTGGGATGTTACATTCCAACGATTATATTAATACGAGTGTACCTATGCCAACACGAACTCCTATTCAAGTGACGACGGATCCCAATGAGTATAGAAAGGGCGTAACATCCTTTGCGAACCATCGCTACACTCGTGTTCCAGAAATGCCTTACACGGCCGATTTTGGCGAGTGGTTTGTCCCGCTTGCGTAACTGTCCCAAGTCTATTGAGGTTGAAGCAGCGTTTATGACGCTATACGCACAATTGTAGCGCATGAATTCTTGTACATTTTGAGAGTACCATGTCGTGGCGGTCTCTATATTCATGCAGGTAGCCATATACAAAGGCGACCAGTTCATTTGCGGCGGCTCTCTCTTGGACGACAACACTGTGCTGACGGCGGCCCAGTGTTTCTATAACATGAAGGACACTGAGTGCGTATATATTGGGCAAAAATTTCGCCTATGTTCCATTTTAGGAACGCAAGCATACCGGGCAATTTCGCAGCTTAATTTGAAATTTTGGATCTGCTTTGAATTTGGTATGATGAAACTTTGCTACTAATTGTAAAGCGAGGTTACCTTGCCTTGCAGCAATCATGAATGCAACAAATCCGGACGCATTCGGGCCCTTTGAAGTGAGATTACGTCTGTATGCAATCATAAATTATTGATGTTTGTTCGATTTGCAGGTGATGGCATAAAAAGAACTCCGAAGATGGGCATTTTTCGCTCGAGACATATCAAATAGTTAAGGCTCTTGGAGCTGCAATCCACTATACGCGGTTATTTCAGCCTAGATGACGAGACCTCATCCCACCGATAATTTCTCATGTCTTTACAGCGACAAATGCATGCGTACTCCGTGTCACTACACCCTTATCGTCTGAGAGCGCCAACGGCCCTGGAATATTGTACTTCATCGCTCACTTGCGTGATCACGATGATTCTCCATACTTACCAGCTATATTCACGGCATCCACGGTTGAAAACAGTACGATCTGTCTCAAGACAGGCACTTTTTTTTTCTCAAAGCTGGTTCAGCGATTGCGGCATACTCCGTATGCTGACACGAAAGACTCGTGCTCCAACTCCGCCGCGACTGTCGCATCTGAATGGAGGTGAAATGTAAGACCACCCTGCGCTGTATGATGTGAATGTAGGCTAAATTTCCGATGGGTCGAAATTATCTTGCGCCCTGATGAGAAACGCTATAGTAATACAGCGTTTCTCATGCCAGAGTGGCTTTAAGACGTTAAACCTTACAAACACACCGACCAACCTTTATTGCGGTGTGCCCGCTGATATTACATTGGCCCTAACTTGTATAACAGCTCACAATGGTTGGTTCAATTTGTGCAGCATCGGAAACTACAAGGTGCGACTTCGCATTTCGGAGCTGAATGAGACGGCGAGCCCGCACGTCGCCAATCTTCCCGTCCTCCGGATCCTTCCGCATGAAGACTACAGGGTGCGCCGCTTCTACAACGACATCGCACTCGTCAAGACTGCCAGCAAGGTCGGTTACAGTAGCCACATCCGGCCGGTGTGCCTGCCGCAGCCGTACTTTGAGCTCAGTGGACCGGTCACCGTGCTCGGCTGGGGACAGTCTGTTTTTGGTGAGTGTAAGCTGTTCTCCTGAGCTTGTCACAGGTAAATTTGCGGTAACCATTTGCCCTATATACGTACTCCACAAACAACGCTTAACGTGAACCATTATCATGCTGGTTAGGTTAAAACTGACTTCATTCATTCATTCATTCATTCATTCATTCATTCATTCATTCATTCATTCAAGCAACTCTATTTCGAGGTACTGCGTGTTTGGCAGCTGGGAAAAAGAAGGTGTCCCGCGCGCTCATGTAGGTGATGGCCAGGAGAAGGAGGAAGAGAAAAAGGGAAGAGAGGTTAGTTAGTTATCAGACCGGCTGGCTACCCTCTGCTGGGGAAGGAGGTGAGGGGATTAAAAAAAAGTGGAAGAGAGATTATGCAAAAAAATAAGAAAAAAGAGGGAAGTAATAATAGCCCGTTCTTGGGTGTCTCTCTCGGTTTGCTGGACAGCACAAAGTTATATATTCAAGGGCAGACTTGAGCAACACAGTCTCTCGGTGCAAGCGGAGACCTTCGCAAGATGCTGCGACACCAGTATTGTGTGTTATATCTCGACATCCCGGCTGTGTGCGAGCGGCTCTAGAATCACAGTCCTTGCCTGCCTTGCATATGTATGGGTAAATGAGGTGTGAGATCAGCGGTTACCTCTAAGTTTTGGTCTGCTGGTGCCGCCAGTCAACAAAGTGCTTTTTTAGTTAGGTTTTTGTTGACGTTGTGAGAAAACACACTTTTAAATCTGTAGTGAGAAAACTATAAATCTCGTCATGCGATCTTCTCATTTCTTCTCATTCCCACTGCTCTCAATCCTCGTTCTCGGGAGACGCTAAATGCTGGACATACTACCGGTCCTGTCCACAGTCCGTCGAGTGTTCCTCTGTTCATTCATTCTACATACGGTTTTTTTTAAAGACGGTAGTCTTTCTTGGGAACCTTCGCCGCAAAAAATTTGGTCTGTCTGTGCTTTTGTCTGTTTGTCCACTCTTAATGGTCCCTGGTACTTGAAACGGCCGACCTCATCCGCACCGCCCACCAATGTTGCTCAAGATTTAGCGTTTATACTTGTGCAACTGTCAATTAAAAAGCAATTATTGCGCATGTCTGGGGCACCATAACAACACGTGTATATTCTGCATGTGCGTCTTTTACTAGAAAAGGCATACATAAGTAATTTTAAGGACCGTAGCGCTTATCACGCCGTGCTGACCATGCAACGCTTGCACGAAAAGGCGAGTGTTTTCAACGCTTTGCTAAGACGAGACGGGGGTGGCCCCTATATATACTCGTCGCCTTGCGTTCTACACCTTATCACCTCTGAGACGGGCGCGCACACCTGTCTCAGAGCTACGCGCTTCGTTTTCCAAGAAAACTGCCAGATGACGCTCATGTCTCACATGGGACCTGACTTGATGCGCTCGTTCGCCTCCGCTGCATGCTCGAGGTCCTCTAACGCAGCGCCTCCAGAATACCACTCACCAATTTTCTTGCGCAGAACATCAAATAAATGTTTCATTCACTCTCTCCACACGCCAGACTATCGTCTTTCGATGACATTTGCACAATAACATGCAGATACGGGGCCAGTTTTTTTTCTAGTCAGATATGTATACTCTCGATTGCATTTAAATTCCTTCTCGTTTTGAAAGAGATCTTCGCTGATGCAGCATGGCTAACTGATTTGCTGAATTCGCAGGAGGAGGGAAGCTCTCGGCTCAGTTACAGGAGCGTCACGCGTCGGTCATCAGCAACAAGGAGTGCGAGGAGATCTTTGGACAAGTGGCAAGCTTCTCGGCCACCGCAACCATCACTCAGAGCATCGTGTGCGCACTCAACGAAACGGGCGTCGATTCATGCCAGGTAGGTGACGCATGCAGTTACGCCAGGGCCATCATTTCTCGTATGTCTCGTGTTTTAAATGTGAAGCATTTCTTAGCGAACTTCGGTGACTTTTAGCGTATCTATCTATCTAGCCACTTACGTTTGGGTGCTCTCGTGGTCACCCCCTTAACTTGGCGTGAACCAAAATTAGCATGGGAGGTTGAGATGGTTTGACGAATAAGAGGCGCTGGTCAAAACATGAATAATGTCACAATCGCGTCGCGTACGTCGTCAAACACTTACCGCCAGACAGTGGCTCATACCCACTGGCGGGTATGTGCCACTGGCATGCGGCTATGTCCCACAGGTGATTGACACTTAGTATGTACCCAGGAACGACGAGAACACACATGGGCAATTTTAACGCGTGAGCGTTAAGAAATGTCCGACATCGGTAGCGTAGACCCGACGACAAATTTTTATTGTACCAGTATTTCTTCAGTGCAGTGAAGCGCACCTGTTATAGAGTGTGCAATCATGAATTGTTAGCGTGGAAAACGAGGCGAGGCATTTTACGTCGTAGTTGTATGTGGCTAGGCAAAACCTAAACTCGTCTGTCCTATGTACGTGTGCTAAGAAAAGGAAGGAACGCGCCTGCGGCAAGCACCAATGGCTTACCAGCTAGCGACCCTATGCTGTTATTGTTCCCACCGTGCCACGCTTTGTCATTGCTTCTTCAAGATCGCACACGTCTAAAACGAGTTGCGTGGCATGTACATCAGCGTGGCAAAAAAGAAGGCACTAAAAAAGGCATTAAAACGAACCTATATAAGAATTAATTTTTCCTGCGTACAATAACAAACTGGAACAGCTTACCTTGCGAACATCTTTCGAATTTCAATGCTATTGCACGATTAAGATTATAAGTATCTTGTCTGTTTTTGTTTCATTCTTTCTTGTTTGGTTGTTTTTTCTTTCATTTTTTCTCTTATTGTACTGAACATGTATGTGTTTGGTTTATATCCCAACGTTTATATGGCTATCTCTATTTGGTTCCATACTTACAATGTTGCTTCCTTTTTTTATATTTCGTTCTTTGTTTTTTCCATGCTCCTTCTGCTTAGGTTGGGCCTATGCTTTGGCCTACAGTATGTCATAAATAAATAAATAAATAAATAAATAAATAAATAAATAAATAAATAGTGTAATGTCACACACTTATTTATGTACGCATACTGTGGTTGTACCACCATTCTTGCCTTAGTAAAGGTCCCACTTCGTCATACTTCGGAGTGCTTCCCGTTCGGAAGCTTCATGCTGTGTGTGTACTTACATCTCTTTGTGCTGCAAACACTGACTTGGCATGACGAAAACCCTATAGCCAAGCCAAGCCAAACCTGTAAGTCTAAGTACCCTGCCATCTTCTTGCAGGGCGACGCTGGCGGACCCATGCTGGCTCGGGGCCCCGACTTTCGCTGGTACGTCGTGGGCCTGGTGTCTTTCGGCATCGGCTGCGGCGGCCGTTATCCAGGAGGATACACGCGCGTCACAGCGTTCCTCGACTGGATCGCGCGAAACAGGCACTGAACATGCGTGGTGGGACGATATAGGCCGAATAGCCGCTGGATCAACCTAATTATTTCAGTCACCACTACGAACGCAGGTGCGCGATATGTTACAAGCAGTACAGCGGAGCCTGCTTGGTTTGCATGCGCTGCACATACTGTCGCACTATGCCAACGCTTTAGTAAAGAACACTGGAATGCAATGACAAATAAAGAAAACGAAAATAAGGCTCTGGCTTCATCTTGTCATGCTCAATAAGCATCACCTATTGGCAACCAACGTTCATGCCATGGACAACCATACAGGTTGACCACGTTCAGTAATTATGCGCAGAAAGTCACCAACACACCACCATACGCGTACGCATATTTTTAAGGGAAGCAAAGCTTGATGTCGACGCCCTTCGGACCTCTCCGTTGGTCGAGTCGAAGAGACACAAGGCGGGGGGTTACTCACCGAAAATAAATATAGGAACTATAAACACTTAGAACGCAATATGAGGGGCCATCGGCGACGACTATTGGCAAATACTTGAGTGGTCATAACCTTGCCTTTTCAGCAACGACTGCACAGGTCTGTCCGAGTAAAAGTACTGGGCAAAATTTGCGCCTTCGCTCAGTTGATTCGGGGTGACGTAAGGGGAGGGGCACTTCCCTTTGGCATTGATATGAATTTTCTGCGTTCTTTTTTTTTTTTGCGCCACGGAATACACAACTTTACCACTGTAGCTGTCGTACAGCCACACAAAGCCCAATCTAGTGTAAAACATAACACGGCCAAGGTAAACAAAGGCGCAGCCAGACATTGTGAAAGAGGGGAGGGAGTACCACTTAATGTTCGTGTACGTGTGCATGTATTTGTATAAGTGCACGTGCTCATGCACGCACTCTCAAAGAGCAAAAAAAAAATACAGCATATCTACAGAGTGAATGATGATGACTAAAATGAAGCTTCGGAGGGTTTTATCGGTAGAGCGTGAATCTGTCCGTCCGTCCGTCCGTCTGTTTGTCTGTCACAGAGTAACTGTGTATGCTTCCTACAAGACCAGAGTAGAGCATAGTTCCGCTATCTTGCCTAGTTGGCAACTATAGTTACGGGCTGCAGCCACGTTCTGTTTTGTGTGTCGACCATGACCAGTCGACGTGTCTGGCGTGTCAACGACCGACGAAGGAAGAAACACCTACTTTCGGGACTGTGTCAAGCGAGTGCAAAAGCACTGTTTAGTCTGTCCGGTAACGCAGCCCACAAAGGTGTAGCGTATCGCCAAGTAACACGCACTGCCGCTTCCGCATGGTCAATTGGCGTTAGCTATGGAAGATAAGCAACAACTCACAAACACAAAATATAGGTCCTCCGAGATTTCAGAATCGCCCCACTATGCCTACATCATTATTTCAGTATGTTTTTCAAAAATGGTGCCGTATGCACGCAAATACTTTGCTTTCAAAGCTTAAGGACGTGAATATAAAGCAAAAAGAAAAGCACCAGTTCGTAGCTAACGAGCTACTGAGCGCACGACGGTCACTTGATAGATTTCAGGTGGATGGCGACCGCTTTCGGTGGTGCGGCCTGTGCACAAGCTTCCCCGCAGTTCATGGTTGCTAGCAGCGTTGAAAACAAATGCGCTACTCTGCTACCTAAAGGAAGCCTATACAGTTACTCTAGCAGCGATGGTCACTCTGTGACCTCTTCTGGACTAACTATACCACTCATAGGTTGGCTTCACCGCAATACACGTCGACAACCACTCGAAAAAGTTATGGGCTTTATCACCCATGATAAGGCTCAACTTTTGTCTGACGTCCCACATGGCAGCGTCGGTCAATCTGTGCCCTCTTCCGAGCTAAATGTTCCTCTGATAGATTGGCTTCACTGCAATACACGTCAAAAACCACTTGAAAATTTTGGAAGCTTTATCACCCGTGATAAGGCCCAACTTTTGTCAGGCGTCTCACATTGCAGCGACAGTCACTCGGTGTCCTCTTCTGAGCTAAGTATACCCCTCATAGGCTGGCTTGACCACAATACACGTCGAAAACCACTCGAAAAAGTTATGGGCTGCATCACCCATGATAAGGTTCAACTTTTGTCTGACGTCACACGTGGCAGCGTCGGTCACTCTGTGCCCTCTTCCGAGCTAAATGTTCCCCTGATAGGCTGGCTTCACCACAATACACACAGAAAATCACTCGAAAAAGTTGTGGGCTTTATCACCCATGATAAGGTTCAGCTTTTGTCTGACGTCACACGTGGAAGCGTCGGTAATTCTGTACCCTCTCCTAAGCTAAGTATACTGCTCATAGATTGACTTCACTGCAATACACGCCGAAAACCACCCGAAAAGGTTGTGGGCTTTATCACCCATGATAAGACTCAACTTTTGTCTGACGTCGCACATGGCAGCGTCAGTCATTCTGTGCCCTCTTCCATGCTAAACGTTCCCCTGATAGATTGGCTTCACCGCAATACACGTCGAAAACTACTTGAAAAAGTTGGAAGCTTTATCACCCATGATAAGACTCAACTTTTGTCTGACGTCGCACATGGCAGCGTCAGTCATTCTGTGCCCTCTTCCATGCTAAACGTTCCCCTGATAGATTGGCTTCACCGCAATACACGTCGAAAACTACTTGAAAAAGTTGGAAGCTTTATCACACATGATAAGGCCCAACTTTTGTCTGACGTCACACATTGCAGCGACTAGTGCGTAGCTTTTCCGCAGCGGCAAACGGGTGCAGCCACGTTTCACCACGTGATCTAATGGCCTTCTCCTTTCCACCTTCACCATCGTCGACGGCTGACCGATTCGCCGCCGCCGCTCTCGGGTTGATGGCCAGCAAAGTGGGCGCCGCGCTTAGTTGGGTGTGGTGGCGCCATCTAGTTTTGCCTAAAAACTAGCTGCAAAAAAAAAAAAAAAAAACATGGCCTCCAAAATTGCGGGCATGCGCCTTTAATCTCGGAGGCCATAAGAAAATAAACGAGTTTAGGCGGCTATGCCTAACAAAGCGCAATAGGACTTTCTGAACCACTCACGCCATTCTCCATGGTAATACCAAGCGGTTCTTGTTTCCCTATATCAAACAGAAACGGACAAGCAGCATTAAAGTACGTGTTGTAATGCACGGAATGTTTTTTTTTTTTTTTACTGCTGCCGGTTTGCTTCATCGTCATCAGCATGACTACGCCCACTGCAGAATAAAGGCCTCGCCCACATTCCGCCAGTTAACTCTGTCCTGTGCTTACTGCTTCCACTTTATACCCGCAAACTTCCTAATCTAATCTGCCCTCGTGTAACTTTCTGTCTTCCCTTCGCCCGCTTGCCTTCTCGTGAAATCCAGTCTGTGACCCTTAATGACCAGCGTTTGATTATTAGTGATTTATTGTTCGCCTTTTGAGGTCATTGGGATCATTTCAATATGTCCAACTAGTGGCGCATTTGGTGTATATTTACCTTAATTTCTCGATTACTAACCCTACTGCTGATAACATCCATGTTTTAGACGTTCTCAAACATTGATCGTTCACTCTGGCGTACATTTGCCTTCCTTACAAAGCGAGTCAATATCCGTATTACCTATGTCGACATTCGATCTGTCCGTACGCACTCATATCTAGCAATGCACATTCTCGTTAAATCTGGGACCATTTCAATTTAGGTGTACACAACTCTGAATTGCCGACACGTTTAGAGAGAAATATTACATTTTACCCTGTAGCCGGGCTGAGAATGCGAACCGAGCCAAGCTTGGTTAACCACCTTGCCTTTCTTTATTGCTCTCTCTCTCCCTCTCTCTCTAAGACAAAGAAGAAAAAACTTACCATCGTAGCTCCTGCTTTTGGTTGAAATCGTAGTCAAATCGTAGGAAAGTCGACGTGCACAGGGAAAGTCTCACCTTAGAAATGTACCAAAGACAGTGTTCAGGATATTTTTATTTGCTTTGCAAGCAAGGTGCGCTCACGAACACATTATCAGCTGCTGCATTCACTGCAACAATTGTACATAACTAAATCGCGAAATGTATATATGGCCTCTTGGAGGCAATGAACGCGATTAACAGTCTCGGAGCAGGAACAGTCGATGTACAGAAAGCTGACAACAGTTTTACTGGGGCAAAGATCCACGCCGCCCCACCTCGACGAAACATGCATATTGATGCAAGACAGCTCGTAGCTTCTATGACTGCAACAAACTTTGTAAGATCCAGTGGTGCAAACATGTTACCTAGGCAAGTTTATAGTTCACGCACAGTCGCTGTCCATGTAAAACCTACAGAAAAGGAGTGCCCGAGTTCCAACCCTGGGACAAAGCCAAACGGGCTTCTGATTCAACTCTGTGAATTCTGCACAAATAAGTGCAATTAATGAAAAACCTGGGTTCTAACCTCGACACAATACCAAAGGCGCTTCTAATTCAACAAAGAATTCCACTCAAATACGTTCAGTAAACAAAAGGCCAAGATTTTAATTTCGATACAATGCCAAATGGGCTTCTATCGATGCGCGAACCTGTGAATTCTGGGAAAATAGGTTCAACGAATGAAATGTTCGAGTTCTAACCTTGAGACAAAGCGAAACTGACTTCTATCGATGAGGCATGACGTATTCTGTGCAAATACGTTCAAGAATTGAAATTCTCCCAAGTTCGAATTTCGAGTAAATGCCAGACGGGCTTTCTACTGATACTAATTGAATTTTCCACAAACCAGTTCATTAAATGAAAACACCTTGATACAAAATAGGGTAAAGAAACGGGTCCTTCAATGGTTGAAGCGTATTCCCATGGACAAAAAGCGAACAATCACTTCAGAGACCTATATCCAACCAGTATGGCCAACATAAAGAAAAAAAAATACTTCTCAAAGGTTCTACACGAATTGACACCACCAACGGGTTATGGTCGCTGCCAGGCACACTACGCATGAGAACCACAATGAGGAACCAACTGCAGTAAAAGTAGGTTCCATCCATTCAGAAACCAACAAGAATGTAAAGCATCTTCAAAATTGGATGTTGTTAGGAAATGAAAGTGCGCACGAACAAGCACGTAGTCCGATCTGTTAAGTCTACAAGAACACACAATGGAAATAACTGTTCTTATCACATGTAGAAACATTTACACATAACACGACATGTTTTTCGACACTTCGGCTCTCTATTGAAATGGCCTCATGCGCATCTGAGAAACAATTCTTTCAATAAAGGGCAACTTGCTTCACTAAACAATTAAA